CAGTTACTATGATTGGAACTCGTGATAAATGAACAATACAAAATGATATTTGGGTTCAGGAGAATTTGTGGTGATGATATCTTGAGAAGAAGAGAGTAGATTAACTATTGTTGAAATGAAATTGTAAGGTGAAATTCTTGAATTAGAAAGGAGGAGACATAATTGAGTGATAAACATGGGAGGGGAGAATTAAGAGATAGTGGTTGATTTGGAGTGAAAGAGTTATTTAAGTAGATAATTAATCAATAATAGTTTTAAGGGATGTGGGTATCTAATAGTATTTTCAAATAATATATTAATATATGGTATAAAATACTAAAAGTGGTAATATATGTAATTGTTTAAAAGTAAAGATAATATTAGTATATATAGTAGTGATGTATGTCTAATAAGGTAGTTTATCCTTTTATATATTTGTATACCGAATGGGTAATTGTATACAGAAAATGGCTAATTGTATATCGAGTCGGATGACAAAAAAATGGGATGTTTGCTGCGAATTACAATTAAAATAAACTATGACTATATCATTTAATTTGAAATAATAATTTGTTATTTCATACGATTTTCCCTTTTATGAATACTTATAATTTTTCAAGAATTAATTGTATAAGCTATTCATATATTTCAGGCTAAAGTTACAAAGTAGCACATTATTGTCTTGATTTTCCGAATATAACTTCAGTAGATTGTAACCTAGTTGCAAAAAGAAATAGATGTAGACCAAAATACTTAATTAAAAAGAAAAATAACAAAAAGTTGCTCCTATCATGAAGCTACATATTCATATATACAACCTATGTTGCTCGGTTTTTTAAAAATAATATCGCACTCATGATGAAATTTCCAAAAATACAATATTTTTGAAATATTCAACATTCATTTCGCGTCATTTTTAAAGAACTCAAGCAACACAGTATACAACTAACGGAAAAAACAACTTACTTAGAAAGGGGAAGTTTTAACTACTCAAAAAAGTTATTTAAACTTTCCCTCCCAATACTACTCTCATTTTTTCACCACCGCCGGATTCACCTCCGCCTTTCCCGCCACCGCTGCTCCACCACCGCAAATCTCAATCGCAACAAAATCACCACCACTGTCAACGTCGTCAACATCGACAACCGGTTTAACAATTCCGCGGTGGAGCAACTGGTGCTGCGGCGGCGGTTTCTCCGGCGACGACGAAGAAAATTCCTTGTTCTTCGCCTTTTTAAAATGTGCTTGAACCGATAGATCTTCAACGGATTCGGAGATTTTATCGATGCAATTGATGACGTCAATCAGTACGGACGCCACCGTAATCGCCGGAAAAATTTCCAATAGATCCAATTTGTTGGAGAGTAATAGTGTTTCGGTGGCGGCGAGGATCGATTTGAAGTCGTCGACGGCGGCTTTCGAGTGGCGGAGATGGATTTCTGCGGCGGAGGACGACGGTTGTGTCATGGTTTTGATGGAAAATGCTAATTCCTTTAGGACTTTACTTGATTCAATGCACATTTTTGTGCATGCTTCTTCTATTTTTTTTTGGAACTCACTTGGTACCTAAAAATAAATGAAAGTTTAATAATTAATATTAATATTAAAAAAATAATTACACAATCAAATCAATAAATAAACTATAACAAGAGGTTAAATTATTATGATAAAACTTATACTAGTATTAAACTCACATATTGGTATGAGATGGATTAAAATTAAACAGACGTTTAACTATAGATTTCAAATATATGTACCTCGTTTCATAATTTATGGTATTATAATTGATTTTGATTATACTAAAAATATTTGGAATAATATTCATATCTGAATACACTACTTAGATAGTACAATTTTAAAAGTGAAACGAGTTGGAAAACATGTATATTCTCCCCAATTTTAAATACAATTTCTAGTCATGATCAAACACACCTTTTCAGATAAAGTAAATTGTTTCGGAATAAAGTGAATAATTTTTATCGCTATACGAGTTTTAAAAGTGTGACATATGAATTGAGACACAAAAAATATTTTTGTAATTAAGAGAATTGAGAATATTCTTTCAATAATTCCTTTTTTTGTCAGAATATTCTTCACTAACTCTATTTCGGGGAAGGAATGAAATCACTTTATAAAGTCTTACACTTCACAAATCACTGTTGTGTAAGACTTTTTGGTATTTTCTTTAATTTAGTGAAATTAAAATAGTAATTAATTTAATTATATGATTAAATAAAAATAATATTATATAATATACCTGAGGCTTGGAATTAAAGTAACCACTAAGTGCTTGAAGATGGCATGCACATTCTCTAGCAAGTACTCCAATTTTCAAATATTGCTTCCATGGATGACGTAGCCTGAAAGATCCATGACCAGGCTCCCACCAAGCAAAATTTGCCTAAACATTATAACACGTGATGTGTGGATTAGACGTATTTTACGAGTTAGGAAGACCTTAAGAGATTTCTCAATTATAAAAATTATAACATAAGAAGATGTTATTTGATTATTTTTGTTGTTGTTTTACTCACCAAAGCTTCCTCATTGGCTTTAGAATTAAGGACTGTTTTATAGGATCCAAGGAATCCTTCATTAGAGGCCTTTACAATTTCATCATTCTCTGAAAAGATGAAATATTCACTTCCAAAACCTGCAAAATAAATAAATAATGTATATATATATTTATTAATTGTTTTGCCCCTCATGGATCACACACATAAATAAATTTTATGTGTCACTATTTGTTTACTAGTATGTTAAAAAGGAATGACATGCAGAAGTCTCACGTCTCATACTTTAATGAGTGAAACTGTGTTTTTCCAATACGATTGATTATGAATGGTTGACAATTAATGATTTCATTTCTATATTCATATATAACTATAAAAATATCATGACTGGCCACCAAATATAAAATCACAAGTTCTAATTAAACTACGTGAGTCAAATATCATCACATAAGTCGAAATGTAATAGTAACAAAGAATTTGTTTGTACCATCATACATTGTAGCATGTAATCTACCTAGCTACTTCATTCTAATATACGTGAAATCGCTACTTTTATTATTCTATATCATTTCAAACTCTAGATCATCTGCTACTCTCTGTATCGTTCCAATTTTATCAGATGTCCTTGAACGAACAAAAAAGAATGAAGTAGAAGATTCACTTACCTTCTAAGAAGTTTGCAAGTTTTTCAAGATGAGTATAAATAAGTTTATGAAGATCTTCTCCAGCCCAAACAGGACAAACAATCAAAGAGACAATCATGCATGTAGCAGCTCCAATAAGAATAGTAGACAAACGTTGATGAGCCAATTCTAATATTTTGTCCACACGATAACCAGACACAGTCACCATACTGAAGGTTAACACAAATATCAAAATTCCATAGTCATATCTCCTCTTCATGTGTGGGAAAAATCTCGTAAATGTACCTAGTGCACCTGTATATACGTTGAAAATATAATTAAGTAAATGAAAAAAAGAATAGTTGAAAATTAGAATTAGTAATGTTGATGCTTAAACTTTCTTGTTTTATTCTAGTATTTGAAGTTGAGTTGAACATCCATCATTCAAATTACGATTAAAATTGAACTTTCTTTTTTGTTATTACTCTTCAATGTAAGAGGTGGATGAAGTATTGAGATTTGAGGCTAAGCTCATCTGAATTCAATATTTTCAACGTGAAACATAAATTTATGCATAAATATATATTAATATTACAATAGATAATATGTATAGAAAAGTTTTTATGTCATTTATATATATATATATATGTAGCATTCATAAATTATTAATTGTTTTGTGAACCATCCATATTCTTTTCTCTTTTTTTTTTTGGTAAAACGAGATTGAAGTTACTTTTTATTTTCTCCTAATTATTATTATTTCATGGAGCTAATTATGGATTATATAATATGCTTTGACTTGCTTAATATCCTACCTAGTGTAAAGACCAAAATACCCAAGACAATGGGTTCCCCTTCTTTCCCAAATAAGTCAGCAAAATATTTTGCTCCAACACCTAATGCCCCAGCTGTTAATGTGGCAAAACCTCTATTTAAACACTTGCTCAAAGTTGCACCTGAAAAACCAAAATAAATAAATAATTAACATTTCTAGGATCGATAAGCTGACTCCAACACCACAATTATTCATTTGTTCAAGTTTTACTAGATAAAATTACAGGTATCTCGTAAAATTAATTGAAGTGCAGACAAACTGACTCAGACATCACAATTATCACAAAAAAAGGGATAAAAGTTAGAACTTGCCTGCTGTGAATTCAAAAACAACCACCACAGTTAAAACAGCCCATATAGCTGATTGTCCAAAGCCATCATAAAGAGGCCTATAATAGTAAAACAATGAAATTAAAGTGAGTGACAATCCCACTTTAAATGCATGCCAAATTTTTCTTGGATCATCTTTTCCAATTTTCATTGTTTTCTTCATAATTTCCACAATTTTTTCCTTCAATTTTTTTGGAAAATCCATTGAAAATAATGGATGATTAATTTGGAAAATTATGGCTAAGTGTTGTTATGGAGAAGAAATTATTGAGCTAGAGTGCACTATATTTCAACAAAGCTAAGTGTAATTATTTATAGTTGGCTATAAAAGTAGTGTGAAGTTTTTTTTATTCATTTTCACATGATTATGTGTCTCTTCTTAGATCTTTCATGAGAAGGACAATTTAAAAAAAATAATTATACTCTTTTTTTTTTGGCTGACTGGGATTTTACTTGGATCTGAACTATATTTAATTGAAATGAACTTAAAAACTGTTTTTTCTTCAGAAATTTTGAAAAATAATGGGGACATTCTTTGCTTTTTCTGACGTATTAATGTGTTGCTATGGTAATGCTCAATGCCTTTTAATGTTCAAGGTAAATTTTAGAAATAACAAACATAATAAGGCTCTATAACTATAGTTTCGATAATTGCACTCCATAACTATAGTTTTATTTGCTAAGAAGGTTGTAGTTTGTATATTTCTGTCCGTTTGTATATTTCGTTTGTGAATATACAAATAAGGTAATATATACAAATTTTATATTTATTCATTTAAGATTTTTTCAGAACTCCATTTGTATATTTCGCTTGCCAATATACAAATAGAGTAATTTATTATGATTTTTTTATAATCGTATACTAATAGCTAGGGTAAGCATATACAAAATTATGGATTTATACAATCATGAACCAAATTATACAAATTCTAAATTTGTACAAATCAAGTGAATCATACAAATAAGACGAATAACGAGAATTGGAAAAATTGTAACTGCGAATTACAATTTTCTTAAACTATGGCTATAGTACCTAATATAAGCTAAATGTTTGCTATTCTATGTAATTTTCCATTTTTTTACTACATGGAAAGCTGTAAAAATAAAAAGTGTGAAAACTTTTCACTGATTTCCTACAAGCTCCTACTTTTGTTTTGTGTTTCTAATATTTCCTTAGTTTCATATTATTTGATCTATGAGAGAAGTATTGAAAACACTCTTAAACTTGACGCATATTATTAGTTTCGTCCCCAACGATTGATAGTCTTAAAAACACTCCTATACTTCACTAACTAAATTTGGATACACCCCGATCTGCCACATGACATAACTAGTGGTCTCAAACTCTTGTAGGAGTATGAGACTCTTAATAAAAAACTGAGAGAAGTGTTGAAAACACCCCTAAACTTGACCAGAATTTATGGGTGTATTTCACTCATATTGCAAGATCGGGGGTGTTAAGTTTAATTATTTAAGTAATTAAAGAATGTTTTTAAGGTTATCAATAGTTCGCAGATAAAATTAACAATTTGCGCCGAGTTTAGAGGTGTTTTCAATATTTCTTTTCTTTGATATATTTTTCCTAAACTAACATTATTAATGATGTTTTGAAACTCTAAATTAAACTGTTATTACTTTATGTAGTCATTTAATACTAATGATAGTATAATTTAAAAAAAATTCATTTAATTAATTAAAATGGATAAGTAAAATGAAATATTTATTTATGAAACAGAGGTCGAGTAAAATGAAATAGAAAAGTGCTTGCTTCTTGTTATAGAATATTATGTACATAGACATCGAATGAACATATATACATCTTCATATAGAATACATAACATTATCATAGGTATATATATTTAAAGGTTTTTTTAATTCTGTTTTTCATAAATAAATTACTTGTACACCTATACATAACCAACACTTCTTTTAAAACTAATTATACAATATTAAAATTATTTCATTCTTACTGTACTTTACTAATTTGGCTTAGCTTTCTTGAATTTTCCTAACTCCTCAAATAGTTAAGGTCAACAAATTTTGAACGTACATATATAATACTTGATATATATGTTTTTGCAACTCACTTTTGTTCATTTTTTGGAGATGAAATAAAATGATAGCTTAGTTGATTGAAAGAAACTAGCAATTAATTATGACGAAATTGACTTTTATAATTAAGTAGTTATATCTATATAGTAAATTTTCATATTTCAAATTTATAGCATGTATTGTCGTCTGTTTTGATCCAACAGACCTCATAGATTTATTTTTTTGAGCTAGATTATCTAGTCCAAAAGCATTCATTTAGTACCATATAAACTTATAAAATACCTTATAAAATTCATTCTTATGCTTTTGATGAATAGTAGTGGGTAGTTATCAATACATATTATCATTGTTTTTGTTTGATTTTAATTCTTAATTGGACTCTAATCAAGACTAGATGACTTCCGAATCTTAGGTTTGATTTGATCAAAGTATTTTGTGGCTTTATGTACAAATATGTTATGTTGTTACTGTATCAAAAATTATTTTTAGGAGTAATTAATTAACGAAAATAACTTAATTGCCGTTAAATATATATTTTACATGCAATTACTAGCTAGTGTCAATTACATTTTAGTACTCTTTGTAAATACCGCTAAAGCCTACATCGATATTGGATCCAATGACAATTAACTAATGTCAATAAAAACTTTTTAACACTCTTTGTTAATGTGCATATTTATTGACGCTAAAAAACTATTTTTATTATAGTGTTTCATACTTAACTTATCTAGAAAAATAAATAATTAGTTATTTTTAGAGGTAGGGTTATTCTTGGAAAATGAGTTCATCAACACTTAGTTAGCATCATAACATTGGCAATTAGTGACTTTGAGGATGACCACTTAAAATATATTTATTTTTTTAAAAAAGAAGTATAAATGACAAAGAAGAACTAGATAATGACTCACCTACTTTTATTATAAAGATCTCTATTTTATTCTTTTATTTTCATTTTTGTCCAATCTATCTATATTAATAATAGGACAAAACTGAAATCTAATACAAGTAGTTTTTATTTTTATTTTAACAATATGCAAATAAAATTACAAATCACATGCATGCTACCATATATTATCTCCGACAATTCCATCTTCTATTATAATTTTTCATATATTCATTTCTTTATAATTGTATATGGTGTGTTTAGACAGCTTACACGCATCTTAACTAATTTTATGAAATATTTATCATCTCATATCGATAATAGGTATCAGATAATTCACTTCATTGACAACTAAATTAAACCTTGGAGGCTATTCATAGATCCATTTGTTAAAAGTATATATCACATTTGTCCCAATACTATGTATGTTATGTACTTTACAAGCTTTAGTCAGCATTCAATAGTGAATACAGGATCTGATTAATTTTATAATAATTTATAATATCTAATCTTGTGTGGTATACACCTAATTAAAAAGAGAAAATATGCAGAAATCATTTGGATATTGGAATATCCACGAGGAGCTTATGGTGTTATCATCATCATAATTATTTTTGTTTCTTTTGCCCTTTTGGATGTACTTTTCAATTAAAATGCACAAATTATATCGAAAAGGTTCATGAAATGTGACACTTTATTGTGATACTATATGGTTAATTATCCATAATTAAAATGTATCTCTGGATATTAATTATAAGTAGCTACAACGATTAAACCGCAAATCATAACATGTTTTCATATATTATTATTATTTCATATTTTTAATTCTTTTTGTTAAAGGTTTGTCAGCTACCTTATCTATTCATAATGCAAATTTATGTTTGTTTTTTTGTGTATCACCAATATGTTTTTCATTTATACAGTATTAGTTTGTGTAATTATAAAACTTAAGACAGACAATTTTTTGCCTTGTGCCATTGAACAATAATCACCTCTTTGGAGCTAAAGGGATTTGTTAATTTGAGAGGAGAGAATGTATTTCTTGAAAAACAATAATACAAGTATATTACATGCTAAAAAAACAGGATAGTTATTATGAGAATTTATAAGTAACATTACATTATTAGACATACATCTATATTATAAATATTAATTTTATATATACTTTTAAATAATTACGTATCTTATCACTAATTAAGAATTTTCTATCACCTAGATACATGTATTTTTACTATCAGATACACTAAAATAGGGAGAGAGATGAGCAAGATGGGGAGAGAGATAGTCATGCATCCAGATACATGCAAATCACACAAGATACCTACATATATAGTATACGTATGCATCTAATGTGATTCACATGTATATGGGATACCAGAGACATAGAAGAGTGGCGAGCGAGGTGTGACAGAGGCGACCAAAATTTGTTGTCTGTGTATCCTAGATACATGCGAATCCAATTGAATACAATGTATCTAAAACAAATTACACCTAAGTTTGACCCCATGTATCCCGAGATACATGCATTTGGACGTATCTGAACTCACCAAAATCTGGTAAGATTCTTAATATTGCATTAAAGAATATCTAAGTAATTAGCTCCTAAATTAGTGAAATTTGTGTAAGTTTCCCAAAATTGCTAGAACTTTAAGTAGAGTGGCATTTATAGTTAAGGGCCGTTTCATTTTAAAGCCCAATTTTTCTGTTGGGCCCTAATGTCCACGTTAAAGTTCAGATCAAGAGAAGGTGGGCTTGACGAAGGGCATAATCATGGGGCAAGTTTTTGCATGATTAACCTATTTAAGGCGATTTTTAATTTTTGTCCTTTAAATTGTAGACTAAATACTTTTAATTTTGATCTAATTTCTCATAACATAAGTTGTGCAATATCTAATTCATAATATGTATTTATATAACTTTTATCTTTTGTTGGAATAAGTTTTCTCTCTTAAGGCATAACTTTGTAGGGTTTGAAACTGATTTCATGTCTCTATTGAACATAAGTTTGGTAAAAACTATGTAAGATATAATTTACGGCATGTGAGTTATCTTCTTAAGGCATAACATTCTGAAACCGAACTTATGTGCTTATGTTTAAAAGGAAAAGAAATAATTTATGGGTAATATACTGAACTTATACCTCTAACGATGTAAGTTCGATAAGGATACAATAATATATCACATCCCATCAACCAAACAACCTCCTAAATGTGGTTAAAATTTAGATTTTTTTTGGCCAAACCCTAAATAGGGTCCTAAAAATGGCTATTTTTGTGTTTATTTTCTTCATTTTGCAACTTCACCCCCTCTAATGTCAGCGTACTATCACCGAAGTCCGCCTCTGTCACTCAGCAAGAAAAAAGTATTGCCACAGCAAAATCGCCGCTCTGTTTACCTCCATGAATACCCAAACTTGATCTCGTCTCTCTTCTTCTTCCTTCTTGGAATCGATTTTCCAAGACAATGATACAATGGACGGCGTTGCCTACTCCATTTCCATTCCGTTCAGGTCAGTCGATTTCTCTTTTCTTCTCCTTAATCAAATCTTTCCCATTTTCAGTCGCTCCTTCTCCTTCTTCTTCTCCTTCGCCCATTTTGTCACCAGAAGAATCAGAACCCATTTCCATTGACCCCCTTTCTTCTCAGCTCCTCAATCTCCTTTCACACCCAAATTGGCAAAAACACCCTTCTCTCAAGAATCTAATTCCTTCACTTTCCCCTTCTCGTCTCTCTTCTTTCCTCTCACAGAACCCAAATCTTAATCCCCATATCGCGTTTTCCTTCTTTGATTACCTCTCACGGCTTCCTTCTTTCAAACCCAGTGTTCAATCTTATGCACCCCTTTTGCGTATTTTGATTTCCAATAAGCTTTTTCAGGTCGCGGAAAGAACGAGACTTTCTATGATTAAATCATGTGGAACAACTGAGGATGTCGTTTTTGTGATGGGTTTTGTGCGGGAGATGAATAAATGTGATGATGGGTTTAGGTTTAAGCTTAATGGGTGGGGTTATAATACATTGTTGATGGCGTTATCGCGGTTTGTTATGGTTGATGATATGAAATGTGTGTATAATGAGATGTTGAATGATATGATTAAGCCTGATGTTTATACTTTTAATACGATGATTAATGGTTATTGTAAATTGGGTAATGTAGTTGAGGCTGAGGTTTATTTTAGTAAGATTTTGCAAGCTGGTTTGAGGCCGGATACACATACGTACACGTCGTTTATATTGGGTCATTGTAGGAGAAAAGATGTAAATAGTGCTTTTAAGGTTTTTAGGGAAATGCAGAATAAGGGTTGTCGAAGAAATGTGGTATCGTACAATAATTTGATTCATGGCTTGTGTGAAACGAGGAGGATTGATGAAGCGATGAAGCTGTTTTTGGAAATGGGAGATGATGGTTGTTCTCCTAATGTCCGGACATATACGATTCTCATTGATGCATTGTGTCGATTGGATAGAAGGGTAGAAGCATTGAGTTTGTTTGATGAGATGAGGGAGAAAGGTTGTGAGCCCAATGTTCATACTTACACTGTTCTCATCGATGGTTTGTGTAAAGACTCTAAGCTTGACAAAGCAAGAGAGTTACTAAATGTTATGTCGGAAAAGGGGCTAGTTCCGAGTGTGGTGACATACAATGCTTTGATTGATGGATACTGTAAGAAAGGTTTGGTTGATGTTGCATTAAGTATTTTAGACACAATGGAATCGAATAGTTGTATCCCAAATGTACGTACATACAATGAATTGATTTCTGGCTTTTGTAGGGCGAAAAAGGTGCATAAGGCAATGTCACTACTTGATAAGATGCTTGAGCGCAAACTGTCTCCTAGTAATGTCACTTTTAACTTGTTAGTTCATGGACAGTGTAAAGAGGGTGAAATAGATAGTGCATTTAGGTTGCTTAGATTGATGGAGGAGAATGGTTTAGCTCCTGATGAGTGGACTTATGGTACTCTAGTTGATGGCTTATGTGAAAGAGGTAGAGTTGAAGAAGCTAACACCATTTTTAGTTCTCTGAAAGAGAAGGGTATAAAGGTTAATGTTGCAATGTACACTGCTCTAATTGATGGACATTGCAAAACTGAAAAATTTGATTTTGCCTTCACATTGTTTAAGAAGATGATCGAGGAAGGTTGCTCCCCAAACACATGTACTTATAATGTGCTGATTAACGGGTTGTGTAAACAGGGTAAGCAGCTAGAAGCAGCACAATTACTTGAAAGCATGCCAGAAAGTGGTGTAGAACCCACAATTGAATCCTACAGTATCTTGATTGAGCAACTACTAAAAGAATGTGCCTTTGACCATGCTGACAAAGTTTTTAGTTTAATGATATCTAGGGGACACAAGCCGGATGTCTGCATTTACACTTCATTTCTAGTTGCATATCACAATGAAGGGAAATTGAAAGAAGCGGAAGATGTGATGGCTAAGATGGCAGAGGCAGGAATTAGGCCAGATTTGATGACCTATACAGTAATGATTGATGGTTATGGTCGTGCAGGATTATTAAATCGAGCCTTTGATATGCTAAAATGTATGTTTGATTCTGGATATGAACCTTCTCATTACACCTATTCTGTTTTGATTAAACATTTGTCCCAAGGAGGACTTGATCTCAAAATAGAGGCCAGTTCCATTAATATTGCTGATGTGTGGAAAGTAGTGAAATATGAAACTTTGCTTAAACTCTTTGATAAAATGGAGGAACACGGATGTCCTCCTAATACAAACGTTTTTAGTTCGCTTGTTATTGGTCTCTGTAGAGAAGGACGTCTTGAGGAGGCTTCGAGGTTACTTGATCATATGCAGAGTTGCGGAATGTCTTCTTCTGAAGATATGTACACCTCAATGGTAAATTGTTGTTGCAAGTTGAGAATGTATGAGGATGCAACAAGATTTCTTGACACTATGCTTACACAAGGTTTTTTACCACGCTTAGAGTCGTACAAGCTCCTTATATGTGGGTTGTATGATGATGGAAATAATGATAAAGCTAAGGCAGCCTTCTTTCGACTTCTTGATTGTGGGTACAATAATGATGAAGTAGCTTGGAAACTTCTAATTGATGGCTTACTTAAGAGGGGACTTGCAGATAGATGTTCTGAGTTGTTGGATATTATGGAGAAAAATGGTTCTCGACTTAGTTCCCAGACATATACATTTCTGCTAGAGGGACTTGATAGAACAGACAACAAATGAAGTATGAAGTTCCAGCTATTTGTGATTCTATTCCAAATGTTTGTTCAGTCAAGCATGTCCACAACTAGATCTTCACGTGCACCTTAGTACCCTGTGGCCCGAATAATGATTTCTCATTTCCATTCTTGTGGGCTGTTCTTTTTAAGGGGAATTTGCCTTCCATGAGATCAGTTTGGAGTCCCCATATGGTATATGCAGCTACGTCTGACAGGTAACAGGCAAGTTTCTGTTGCTTTCTTAACTTGTTCTTCCACTCCTCCGTCTATTTTCATCTTTAGTGTGTTCTTTATACTTTTTATTAAAGTGGAAGGTGGATTAAATTGTAAAAAAAATTATGTCTCATTTGTGGATCTAAAACATGTTCTATTGATTCTATTTCAAAATGCTGTGAACTATTTATACTTTTGTCATTTTATTGCTGTAGAGATCACGTTTCTAGGCATGGGGGCAACCTTTAATGGCAGAAATTGCTAAAAACGTACCTTCATCACCCAAGAACTCCATTAGAACCCTCTCTTAAGCTTTCTTTCTGGTTAGGAACTGAAAAGAAATGTTTTTATGGGTTAAAACATCGTATAGCTGACATACCATATTTTTTACCTGACCCGGTTTGCAACCCGGATTCTTCCCAGACAGTCTGCAGTAAAACACTCATAACTTCTTACTCCGATGTCGGTTTGATGTTAGGTTTTCTGCATTGCAAACTAGACTTGTAGACCTTCGATTTGATAGGTCATGGGCCTTTTAAATCTTTATATATTGGGAGAAAACATCAAAGACATTTGACCCAAAGCTCAGAAAATTTTATTAGAGAAACTTACAATAACTTTTGCCGACCTTTGTTTCGCTACTTTTCTTGACTTCAAAACTTAAAATACAACCATTGTGCTATTATTATACCTCATAAAACATTATTCTTAGCATAGACACTCATAGGCTCTTCCCGGGAGGTATGGGTTCATTTAAACCTTTCAAATGGGCGAGGTGCTACATGAGCCATTTCTTTAATCCCGAACCTTTGTTTGAGGGATTCCTTTGACATGATTTTCAGAACTCTCAATTATAACTTAAATGTTTAAACTATTAATACACTTGATTTTTGAAATACTCTCTTTATAAATTATCTAGTAACCAAGAATAGGAAATAAGTGAAGCACCTTAAGCTTTTTATGAACATCTTCAAGGTTAAGTTATCTTTTTAAAAGTAGTTTGAAGAAATATGATAGGTGTTTGGTTTTGATGAATCATCTGTTTAGGCTAGCAGCCGTGAGCTGCTACTCTGTGACAGTCAAAAAGGTTTTTCAATAATAAGCTAGTTTTCTCCTTTCTAAAACAAAAATAATTTTAGCAAATTGTAACTAGAAAAACATCTTATTCATCAGAGATGGAGTCAAGTTCCGTTCTTCTATTCTTTAAAGTTTTAACAAAAGTACTCTTAAGCAAGATGCTGTGTTTTTAAGACTCTGCTAGAATTCACATTGTTAAGCAAGATGGTTTTACACTGAAACCTTACCCCTGCCTCTACCCCTCCCTTGTTTTATGAGAAACACTGTGTACTATGATTCAGTATGTGCAATTCTATTTCCTTTTCAGGATAAGCACTACTCTGTCTCTTTAGGTGGTACATATTGCTAGATGTTTTCTTGATGCTGATGATTTCTGGAATTTCTATTTTGGTTATGGGATTAACTCAATTTTTTGATGGTTTCTTTTTATATTCAACTTGTGTTAACTGGTATACATGAGTAGTTTTTGGTCATGACGGGAGGGGAGGCTTGGGTTTGTTTGACTCATCAGGCACGGACAGTGGCTTTTTCTGTTTTAAATCTTTTAGTTCTTTCCTTCTATCGCGATTCCTTCACCATTATGTGTTGTCTTTTCTCACATTTGTATTTCTTGGTGTTGATCCATGTGATTTATTTATAGGTATGTTGATCCATGTGATTAATATATTGCCTTTCTCCATAAATCAATTTGCAAGGAACCAGTAGAGACAAAAGGTTGGTGTCTTATCGTTTATCATTTGATGATGTTATATTCTACATTGTTTTCGATGTATTTGGTTTGGACTGTGGCGTGTGGTTAATACTCTGCTTCAAAAGTTAAGAAAGCAAGGGAATGGAAGAGACAAGTAGAGAAAATCAAAACATGTCTCTTGCCTAGTTTGGTCGTAATATATGCGGTGGTGGGAAGTTTTAGAAGAGACCACAGGGAGGAGATAACATTACTCTGGATAAGCGAGAGAAGAAAATCATTTTCTTTTCACTCTTTCTTATTTTTCTCTTCATTTCCCTTTATAATTTCTCTCCTTTCCCTTGGTGTTTTTTTTATATTCCAAAAATAAAAGAAGCAATTAGACTAGAGATATTTTCTTCTCCTTATCCATCCTCACATGTTCTTCATCTATGCAGGGAGTGCCAGCACTTGATGTGCCAGAATTGTTGGCATATTAGTTAGGCAGTCGTGCCCATTTCTGGATCAATTTGGAATAAGAAAAGGTAATAGTTCATTTGTGATTTACAAATATACGTGTTGATTTTTGATTATCCTAGTTGCTTATATTCTGTTTGCATTACCTCTTCATGGAATGCTAAATATTTGTTCTGTTTGCAGTACTTGACCTGTGCATTTAGTCTACGTGAGTACTCTTTATTTTCTTTTTCTTTTTGATGCTTAGTCTATTTAATTGTTGAAGGTAAGATAATCTTCACTGCATAAGTAACTATGGTGATATTACCTATGCTCCTGTTTTGATATTTTATCAGTGCTTTAACTTTGCTCTAGATATTCACTTATTCTTTTTGGACATATATAGTAGGACAGCTAGCCTACTCTTGCACATTAAGTAGGATGGTTAGCTTACCTTTGCATCAAGGTGTGAAATTTCTAAAAGATATTCTCATTTTATATTTATTGTAAATTGTTGCACATATATCCAGGAACATTTTCATCTTGTGTGAATTCTGCAGTAGGACTGTTACTTACAGGCTTTCAACCAGTAAAATGGGATAGTTTCTCCGTCATTTATCCTTGACATGTCCAGCATGAAGCATTTACATGATATACTGTGAGTAATAGACAGATGTTAGTTGGATGTCATAATTTAACAATCAAGCTTGATGTGTCGATGGACACTATAAGTTATCTTCTCTGGCTCTTAAATTTATTTATCAGAAAAGATTGTGGATGTCTGTGCAGCAAGGGTCGAAGCAAACTTTTACTACACCACTTACCCGGAGGAGGGTCCTCATGGTTGAAGGTGAAATTATGAATGATGATCTGGATATAAGAACCATGGTCATTGTTATGAAGGTGGATTTTGAGGAGATTCTACCAAGCAGAATCTATCAGATGATAGAAGGCATGTAGTCACAACGGCTAGCCTTCCTTCGATAACAGGAACTGCTGTAAATCTTCTATTCCGAGCAGCTCACTTAGCCAGATCAGAAAAGCAGAATGCTATGTTGCTGGTTCCATGGCTATGTAAATCTGACCAAGAGCTAATTTTTCCTAACCATCTTTCATTAAGTTCTTCTGAAGATCAGGACCTTTATATATGCAATTGGCTTGAGGAGCGAATTGGTTTCAAGGCTGACTTCAGGATTTCATTTTACCCTGGAAAGGTAGTCCCTGATTAACAGCTAAATAAATTATAATATGACAGGCGAAGATGTTGAGATGGATGTGATTATTAACAAATATTTTTTCCCTTGCAGTTCTCCAAAGAAAGGCGGAGTATAATACCAGCTGGAGATACTTCTCAGTTTATCCCGTCAAGGGATGCCGATGTTGCAAAATTTTAGAGGAGCCAGAACATCTCAGTTGGTACCACCCAGCAAATGTTAGAGTGATAAATTTAAATCATCTTGTTGGCGTTGTCCACACAAACTATTTGGAATATATCAAGAGGGAAATGAATGGGGATCTTCAAGCTTTTTTTGTGAAACACACTAACAATTGGGTAACGAGACCATACCAAGACAAGGTATGTTTAGTCTATGGATTAATTCTCCTTCATAGAAGAAGAAAGAAGGAAACTGTGGTCACATGCATTTAGCATTGGAAGATGCCTTAACTGCATTTTAGAGCACCATGTCCTTTTATTAATATTAAAACACCCTACCTGTTATTTCATTTTTGTCTTAATTGAGATGTCAATATTGCTGTTTAGGTATCCAGGATTTACCCAAGTCTTTGGTCTGCAATGTTCACGGTGTCAGTCCAAAGTTTCTGAAAAAGGAGAAAAAGTGGCAGCAGATAGACAAAGCGACCAGCAAGTTTTCTCTAAATGAGCATCTTTCTTAAGGCAAAATGGTCTGGGCGAATACACTGGGAGTTGATAGATCTCTTAAGCAAAGCACAAGAATGACCTTAATGGCTTTAATTTGGAGGTATATGGCAATGGGGAAGATGCTCATGAGGTGCAGAGTACAGCAAAGAGGTTAAATCTTGATGTCAGCATCATGAAAGTAGAGACGATACATATGATTCTCTTCATTGGTAAGAATCCTTATGTAGAACTTTTTATTAATGAAGAATGTAAAGGTTGTTACGCATAGTAGGCATTATTTAGTGCATTTTTTCCTTTTTTTGTCCAATGATCTATAAAGCATCATTAAGGGATGACAATCTGTTCCCTGTGGCAAAATGATTTTAGAGATTACAGTTAATGCATCAATGACTAAGATGGTAAAGATTATTCGTATGATCAGCAACGTTAACCTGTAAAGTAATTGAGCACATTCCTACCGGATTTCTGTGATGTAGAGTATGAGACAGATATACTCACCTGGGAAATTTTCAATCTTACTTGGGTACAAATGTTCTCATTCATTTAAAGGGTGAAATCTCATGAATCACTTTACTTGTGTAAAGTCTTAAACTTTTTCTCCTTGACATCTTCTACAAATACTGAATACAATTTTTTTTTTCTTGGGATTTTTCATTGACATGGTACTTCCAATTGCTAGATCTTAAGCTTGATCAACGATGTTGAATGCAGACCCTTTGCTGCCTTTTGTTTGATGCTAGCTATTGTTTTCCCCATTTCCTTGTTCTCTGTTAGATTCTTTACTGTTGAGCTTTTAACATAGTTTTGCTTCCAGTGCTGCGCTTTGCACTACCATGGCTGAGCTCTTGCAAATGGGGAAATTTGGACCACTGTCGGATGAATTTTTCCAGGTATTCCCAAACCTGCTAGACTTACACGATGCCTGAAGACTTTGTAGCAAAATTTGAAGAGATAATGTCTGGTAGCCTCAAACGATACAAGCTTTCATGAGAAGCTGCTACACAGATGTTCATGGAATATTCTGACCTCGATAAGGTTTTGACTGGTGAAACCAGACTGGACAGGAGACGTCGGAAGGGCCCTGGATTAATCTTGTAATGCTAGGCTGGTAACACTACAAATATAAGAAGACAGCTCATGTGTGCTGGCTAATTATGCTGAATGTCTTGTTTAATTGTTCTATTATCAAACTTTTCTCAAGGTTATAATAAACTTTTACAAGTATAATATGACATGTTCCTTGAAATCTTGTACTGAAACTGCAGGCTTAAATCTTCATAGTGTCATGCCACATGCATTTATGAATTCAGAAAAGTTCTAAAAAAACAAACAAAAGTATCACCAACAAAAGATTAGATATAAACCCAAATGTGTATAAACAAGCAAATAGCACAAAACAGTCTCCTTTTCTACGTGAGCAATAATTTAATTACAAAGAGAACTCCAAACATTAGAAATATGAAAAAAAGAAAGATATTCCGATGCACAAAGCATCTCGCGTGTTGATGCAGGGCCAGGGAAAGGCAACACCCTAAGGGGATGTTATGTAGACAGACTATCTTGACGTGTAAGTATTAGTGACTAATTCCATGGTTCGGGCCCAACATTTGAGTAATTCTCATTTCTTCCATGGTTGAATAGAAAGAACCACCACCAAGATAATAATGAGCAAAATAATAATGGCAATACAAGTCCATTTTCTTGAACTTTTCTGGTGCTTTCTTGCTACCTCAAGCTGCTGAGCACCACCTCTCACAAATGAATTGGCTCTATTGACTTGACTTTCAATGTCATCTAGCTGTGCTCCTTGACTTTCCACTAAAACAGCCATGTCCATGAAAACTTGATGCAATTCTTTCAGATTTCTCTCTAATTCCTTCACAGCTTCATGCCTTTCTTGAATCTCCATAACTGTGTCCATTACTTGTCCTCTTCCTTGCTCCTGTATTGCTTTCTGCAAAAATGTCTCACTTTGGCCAGTGGATATTAGAGTATCCAGTGTACCTTCATCTGGATTTTCTCCCGTCACCGTGTAGTACCTGTTGATTTAAACTCTTAAAGTAGTCAGAAGTCGTGATCCCGAGTCTCATCCACATTCATTATAAAAAGAATCAGAGCCACATGATAGATTGAGAGGATCAACATTGTGTTCTCTCTAACAGTTTCAACTTTCAGATGAGATAACCACATACTTCAATCTAAACAGAATAGGTAAAGGTCCGGATTTCAAATGTCGTTAGAAAAATCTCATATTTTCCCTTGATCCATAATGGAGCTTCAACATGAAGGTAATTTTAAACCATAGTCTAAAGTTGGGGGCCTTTTTCTTGAACAAATACAAAACAATTTACTAACGGCAAGAACACGAATGAATCAAAAGTCAAAGATGCTCAGTGTAATTCCACAAAGTGGGATCTGGAAGGTAGAATGTACGCAAACGTTATCCCTACTATAGAGAGACTGTTTCCAATATACCTCGATTCACAAAAAAAAAAACAGTCCAAAGCAGTCCAAAGAAAGAACAAATGGAAGTCAAAACAATTTGGTGAAAGTTTAGATAACCAACCACCAACCAACTGAGCTACTAAGATTTCTCGACAAAATAATAGATAGTAACAAAAACATCACATAACACAAATGCAAGATTTAAACTTGATTCAACAGTACCTTCTCTGAACAGTTTCTCTATACTCAGATGCCATTCTTTGCCTTAATTCATTGAACTGATTCATAGATTCTTGAAGTTTTTTCCTCAATCCATTCACAACAGAGGTTCTTGTTCTATCTGATGAACTTCCAGGTCCACAGCCAGGAACACTTCGATTAGCAGCATTAGATCGATCTAATGCTTCTAATCGAACTTTGATAAATTTCGCCTTTTTCAAAGCTATCGAAACATCATTATCCATCTTTGTTCTGAGATCTTTGACATTTTTAGCATTGTGCAGAGTCTTGCTCTGTTCATGTGAATTGTGGAGTTGGGTATGAATCTTTTCGAGTTCTTTAAGCTCGTCTTTAATGGTTTCTACATCTTCGAAGAATTTGTCAAGATTGACACCACCAGTTTGTCTCATTTGTATTCCAGGTGATTCTTGATTTGGGGATTGTTCTTCATTTCTGAAACGAGAAAATGATCCTGAGAATAGATCATTCATTGTCAAATTCTTATGCTAGAAACAATTTCAAGATTTTGATTGGAAATTTTGGTTGAGATGGGTTTTGAAGGGGGTGAAGTGTGTGTGTGGGGGGG